TCAGAACCAAATCAAGTGCCACTTCTTCCAAGCACGCTGCCCTGACTGCGTGAGGTTTTATTTTATTCTCTCAACTGCTGTATCGAGCACACAATTTAGGACGTCATTTTGCATCTTCTTTGTTTCCCCAATATGTTCGTTCATTCAACAACAACAACAAAATTTCTTTGTGAGCCAAAAATTCCGTTGAAAGTTTGGATCCTCGTCTAGAGGCTGAGGGTACAGCTGGGAACAAGATGCAGGAGTCTCTCGTGAGGCCTACACTTGGAGGTAGGGAACAGAAGAGGCGATATATAAATAAACAAAACAACAGCTCTCCAGCAAAGAGAGTTTCAAACAGAGAGAAAACAACAAGGGTCAGCTCAGCATGTTCAGGGAACTGAAAGAAGGATGGCGGGGCTGGGGGCTGGGGGTGGCGGCAGGGAAACAGCAGGACACATAAGTGACTTCTTGGATGCTATCAACAAAATTTTATATTATGTCCCCGATACGGCTTGGGCTCACGCTACGCACAGTGGCAACATCTCAGTCCTACCAAACCATTTATAGATGTAAATTAAGGCTGGACCACAGAGCTACATCAAGAGAAGAGAATGCAATTATCTAGCTAATTGAGGATGAAGAGAAAACTAATCTAAATAATTGGACCCAAAAGGATTGTATTAACTCCCTGGGTACACTGACAAAATAGGATAAATATTAAACTCCTCCTCTTCAGACTATTGTTATATAAATAGCAGAAGAACCATTACAGAAACTGACAATAAATTCTGACAATAAACTGCCACGGAGTTATGATCTGACAGCTGCCAGTTACAAATCTCTGACAGAAAAACTACAACTAAAAAATTCAGTCAGCTATCATGAGCAGAATACTTCTGAAATAAGTCCTCTGCAGCAAAGAATTTCTACAGCCTTAGCCTGTGCTGACACAGGCTATTGTAGATATTTGGAACCATCCAAACATTTAAGGGATTTTCTAGTTTACCTGAAAAGAGATTGCCTGGCTTACATTACAGACTTGCTCACCCATCTATATGTGTAAGTGTATAAGAGGGAATGGCTGACCTGTTCAGATCATTAGCTCAACTGCAGGGCTGCTCATTTCTCTGCCTAGTTAAAAACCATGCTCAAGGAAAAACAAGGGGACAGAGAATCTGCTGAGAGGGAGGTGGGGCTGGAGAGCATAGAGAAACAGATCAAGAGCTTCCTGCCTTATAGAAAATGTAACACTTTTAAAATGGATTATTTAATCCAGATGTTTCTCTATAGTTTAGGGGATAGACTCTATGCAGGACAAATATAGTAAATCTTCACTGGATGGAAAAGAGAAGAAGTCCTCCTAATACAGTTCTAGGTTGGGGAAATCAAATTCCTACGTTGAGAGAGTGACCTTACTAAAACATGAAAATGGAGAAAGCTCTTATGCAAATGAAATGGTTCTCAAGACCCCATCTGGACTGACAGCTCAACTCCTCCCCGAAGCCTCCTGTGATTAAACTATATTATTCAACATCTCCTGGGCACTTGGATGTTCCACGTGTATTCTATCATACTTTGCTTTGCTATTGTTCTCCAACAGTTAATCTTCCTACCTAGACTATCAGCTTCTCAAGAGCATGAAAGTTTGATTTCGTTCAACCACCCACTGCTGGATGCCCAAGCCTTGCCTTACAAGTTCCTAGTAAAGTGCAGTCCTCTGCATGGAGAGGTGGACTGGGTGTAAGCTTACAGTTAGAAATCTTTAGGAGAAATCTAACTTGTAATTATCTAGAGCCTGAGTGATCTAGAGGCTGATTTCTATGGCTGTTTGATCATTTTACTGCACATCAGTTTTTCCACCTTTTGGACATACAGAATCAAATTTACTCAAGCACACTACTAAATATCAGTTTGTCTTATTAACCAATTTCTCTAGACAAAAGCCAAGAAAGGCAGTTGTTCAGATAGCTCAGGGAGAGGGCAAACAATTATCTCGTTTTACCTGCATTACTTACAGAGTAAAACAGGGCTTATAATGGAGATTTCAGATTTAAAGGTATTATTATAATGTGCTAATGCACCCTTTGGAAGTAGATTTGCCATGTTCTTGTAGAAAAATGATCAGGGAAAGCCATTTCACCTTCGACATGGTAATATTCCACTACTCTATAATAATTACAGTTTACACAGTGTTTTTACTCTGTAACTCAGAAATGTGAAATGAAATGCCCATAGCAATGCAACCAGCATAGAGCCGAAGTCAAGCTTGAGCCTCACCCTCCAGGCTCCAAGTTCAGCACCCTTCCCACCTTCTCTCTGTACTTTGTTATTTATGTGTCTATGGCTGGCTGGATGGGTGGACTGATTGATTGCTGAAAAGCTTAAGTATACCTATTGAATTGTATGATCCTGGGACATTTCAGGAGTTGGGCATTGTAAAGTACCTCGAGGACAGAAACAACATCTGTTTTTTTTTTTAAGATTTTGTATTTATTTATGGTGGGGGGGGAGTAAGGGGAGGAGCAGAGGGAGAGGGACAAGCAGTCCCTCCACTCCACACTGAGCATGGAGCCCGATGCGGGGCTCAATCCCAGGACCCTGAGATCATGACCTGAGCCGAAACCAAAAGTCACTCGGTGATGAACTGAGTCATCCGGGGGGGGCCACCCGGGACATCTATTTAATGCATTTATTTCATGCCACTTGGGTTCGGGACCACAAGTTCGCAACTTGGTCAATAGCATATTTGATGCTGATGTCAAAGTTCACAACCAAAACATATTCAAATACCTTTGCCCTGTGGTTTATTTTTCTTCATCTAACATATTTCCTTTCTGAAACTAAAGTCCTACCACCAGCTGACAGAAAAATTTCAAAACAACAATGACCAAATCCCAAAGCTAGCCAGCTGGACTCTAGCAAGGACATGTTTGGGGAATGACTTCGCAAAGACCAGGGCAGATCCATCAAAGAGGTGATTCGGTAAGTCCCTACTCATCATGTTCCCTCCTTAATGTTTTACAGTCTGCACTCTATCTGGTGCTTCCCTGAACAAAAAGCAATTTTTAGCAAAGTGCAAGCTAGAGGAGACAACAACATGCTCTTCCGTGAACTGTCCTTCATAAACAAAACAGGCTGCTCAACAAGAAGGCATGCACTTGGAGTGGTTTTTTCAATGTACCTATACCTCCTTTTACGTAACAAGGGATGTGCACCTCGGCGGGGGGGGGGGGGGGAGAAAAGGTCAACCAAATATCTGTAAGGAGAATCAGATTTTCCCATTTTCTGACATTACCATTTCCAAATTACCTTATCATCACTCTGTTTTAGCAACGGTGCCCCTCCCTCCTATCCCTAAATCTGACAGGCACTTCATTAATAAATAAAAATGTTAATGAACTAACCTAGCTCCACTTGGAAGGAAAAGTTACAAATCCTTCCTATGATTTTTTTTTTATGTGGATAACTGTTCTTAGCCTTTTTAAAGAGAGGGTGCCCATGCAGTGGATTGCATAGGACCCCAGTGCCTATTAGATTGAGAGACACAGTGCCTGGTGCAGGATGTGGCCTGGATACTGTTCCAGGTTTCCATGCAGAGCTTTCTGGCCATTCTCAGAATCTCGTTTGCCCTTGTTGGCATAAGATGCCAACCGGATAACTAACCTGTCTCACGGTTATATGAACGGAAAAGATTTGTTCTCTGGTGGCTCCCTGCATATCCCAAGGAGGGGAATTTCATTTAAGATGGTAAAGATTATCTTTCAGAGATCAACTTTACAGTGAATCATTACCTGGGTTCATTCACGGCTCTAGGACTAGAATACCACATATTTTAGTGTCTTCTCAGGGAAAATAGAATATTCCATGTGTGGTTACAGACAAAGAGGAAACACAAACTTGGCCAATTCAGAGCAGATTTCTACATCTGATCCCACGAAGTAAACGTCAAAATAAACTTTAAAATAAATAAACGAAAAAGGCTTGAATCTTAAGCTCCATCTTCCACAGATGTCTTGGTTAAGAGAAGTGACAGGCCCAAGGTCACGAAGTTATTGAGAGGGCATGCACCCCAGTCTGCTAGGAAATACTGCAGCATCAGACAGCTGTTTCCATTTGCAGGTGGGGATGGGAGTTCTTTATCCAAAAGGATCCTAAAAGAGGCCAGCAGATACTACTCAAAACAGATCCAGATTCTTAAATCGGGAGACACGAGCTGGTTTAAAAGGGAAAATTGAGTTTTGTAATAAGTCACTTGACACAAAGCCTGGCTGACTGGGGGAATCTAGGAGATCTCGTCTGCCAATCAACAAAATGAAGTGATATAAAATAAGTTTTAATATATTTTTCTAATGAAAAATATATGAACAGATCACTGCTAATATTAAAGCTCTGTCACACTTAATCTAAAGCATCCTTAATACTGCAGGTTCTCAGAGAAATCCTACGAGCAACCCACCCGCTCTCAGGCATCAGGACAGACTCAGATGAATTTTCAGAGCCCGGCTCGCAGTTCTTCCCAACCCCACTCGCACCACCACCACCACCACCAAAAAAGTCCTCAATTGCTCTGCCGCACTTTCCCGTTGCAGCGTCAGGGTTCCGAGGGGCTAGCGGCGAGGTCTGCGGGGCGAGCGTGGGAGGGAAGGGAGCGGATGCGGGCCACCGCCAGGAATCCTCACCCCCCGGAGGGCACCGGGCTACCCGCTGCAGGGGAGCCCCGCCGCGTGTCCTCCGCGCGCACCCTCCGCAGGATCGCCCTGCAGGCTCCCCTCGTCCAGGCGTGACCGCCCCTGCTCGGGGGAAATGCCCCACTTCGGGTCCCTCCAAAAAGTGGGCGGTCTGGCCCACCCGCCCCCGCCCCGTCCCGAAAACGGGGACGAGGAGAGGGGGTTGCACGCCCTCCCTCCCCCGGGTCCCAGCCGCGCTCCGCCGCCTCTCCCCTGGCCTCTCCCGCAGCGGCCGCCCGCCCGGCAGACCTCCCCGCCGCCCCCGAGTCCCCGGCCCGCGCCTCCGCTCACCTCGGCCGGCGCCCGCGCTGGTGGCGGTGGAGTTCCCGCAGCCCATCGCGCCGCTGGCCGGGGAAGCAGCGCTCGGGAAGCTGGCGGCCGCCGGTCCTGGGGGCGGAGACGGAGGCGGAGGGCGGTGCGCCCCGAACCGGAGGCCGGCGGGGGGCGCGCGGGACCGGGGGACGCGCGGGGCCTCCCCTTCCCGCCGCCGAGGGGTGCGGGCCAGGGCGCGGCGGGCGGGCGCGGGCGGGGCGGGAAGCCGCCCGGCACCCCTTGCCCTAGCCGCGGTCGGGGTCCCCGCCGGACCCGCCCGTCACCTTGGCAACCACGGCGACGCCCAATCCCCGGCTTCCTTCGGGCTCTCCGGCCGGGCATTGGTCGTCATGAAGAGGGGGCGGGAGTTTAAAGTGGGTTTGGGAGCGAGGGCGAGGCTGGGGGCGTGGCCGGCGCGGGCAGCCGGGCGAGGCGGCAGGGCCGAGGATGCTCACCTACTCACTTCCACGCCCTATTTGCCTTTTCTTCCCCACTTCCCTTCCCTGGTTCAGGATGTGGGCAGGAGGGGAAGCGGCAGAAACACCTATTTTGCATACAGTGGGCGCCCAATAAATGTTATTGAATGATGTTATTCAGGTCTGAAGTCAACACTGAAATCCCATTTCTTCTTTAACAGAAAGCTAGTGGAGCTCTGTTCCCCAATATACTTGGACTAGGAAAGAGCATGAAGTCTTCCCTAGGCCGGTCATATCAGCCTACTTCACTTTAATTGCATTTGCTGCAATTTTGATAGCCTGCAGGACCTTCACTCACTTAATGACAGAATTGTGAATGCACTTGGCACCTTTCAACCTAACATTTGGGCAAGGGTTACTGGAGTCAGAATGAGTCACAATCCCTGCTCTGCCCCTTAATAGTTGTGTGACCTCAGCAAAGTTACTTAACCCGTTAGTGTATCAGTTGTTTTACCTGTGAGATGGCAGGAATAACTGAGGCACATGTAAACACCTAACACAGTGCCTGATCCCAAATAAATGCCAGCTATTCTTGTTCTTAAGCCCTATTAGAATTGAATAATAATTCCCTGAAGGTAAGGACTGATTTATCATAGCATCCTCCTGGCTCATAGTACAGACTCAATAAGTGTTTTGTGAGATGAATTCAAGCCAGGAATTAAATCTCCATTTTAAATCCATTTAATATTTATAGAGAGCCTAGCCTGTGCCAAGTCCTTTGTTAAAATTAAGTTCCAGTGATACAAACATGTAAGGAGCCAGTCTAACCAGGCAGACAGCTTATAAACAAATTAATTACAATATAGCAGGGATGTTAACAAAGGAATACAGGGTACCACAGGAGCCCAGAGGATGCTGGGATCCTGGTTAAAAGACTTTAGTAAAACAAAACAATCGTATTTAGAGAAAACCTTGAGCTAGAACCGAGGCCCTGGTGGACTGTTGAACATGACCTTTGAGGCGATGGAGAGCATGGGGTAATCTTCTCATTCAGGATACGCCATCTCTCCTTCAAAACTTAGATATACCTGGGCGTGCTGTGAGATGGGAATTAATTCTTGGGCAAATAAGGGTCTTTCTGAGTTGTCTGACTTCTAGAAGCCCTGCTTCTCTACCTTGGCCTGCACCATCTTGGTTCAGTGGCTCCCTCCTTACAAATCCAGAATTATGCAGGGGAGAGCAAAAGGGGAGGACTATCAAGTAACCAAAGCAAATACTCTTGCTTACTTCTGTGCTGACGCTGGACTCCAGTCGTAGGACACTTGGATGAAAGAGAAAAACAAAGCCTGACATCCAGTCAGTGGCCTGACACCGCGAGGCCTTTGGGTTCTTCTGTTAAACACAGTTACACAGAACACCAATCTCAGGGCCACTCTCTAACTCTGAGGAAGTGAGATCAAAAATAAAACCACCCAGTAATCTTATCTGAGTATGACAAAAACAGGGTCACCGGCAAACCACAAACACAGCATCACTCAATCCTGGCTAACATGAATAATCTGCTACTTTTTTACCAGTTACAGTTTTGGCCCCATCCCAGACTTCCTGCCTCATAGATGAAATTTATTAAGAATATCCCACCATAGAACTGTCCCTCCTTCCTGACAATCCCCAATCCAGAAAAAAAGAAGTCCTGCTTTCTTAAACCCCAACCATAACCACCTAACTTGAACCCAAATCCTATAGAATCTTTTCTAACGCCCCATTACTGAGATACCTCATGGTTCCTTGTGGTGTGCATTCTCTTTCATTGCAAAAGCAATAAGCCCAACTTGCCCAGCTACCAGCATGTTCCTGGTGGTCTTTGGTGGGAGGACTCTGACCCTTGTAAATGATATGTATTCTGCCTTATAAGGTTATAGAGTGTGTTATCTATTCACTCTTTCAACAAACACCATTGAGTGTTTGCTTTGTGCTAACCACTTTTCTAAATGCTTGAGATGGGGCAGTGAGCAAGGCACAGAGGAAAAATCTAGTGAGAAGACAGATCAAAATCAAACAAAAGATCCTTTTAGATACTATAAGTGTGCTGGGAACAAAATAAAGCGGGGCACTGAAATAGGGGTAGAGGGAGAGGTGCTGTTCTAGGTAGGATCATCAAGGAAGACCTCTCTAAAGAATGGATATTTTAGCTGAGGTGTGATTGATGAGAAGAAATCAAACATGTGAAGGTCAAGCAAAGAGCATCCCAGGCAGAGGAAAGGGCAAGTGCAAGGGCCCTGAGGCAGGAACATCCTGAGCATGTGTCATAAACAGAAAAAAAGGCCAGGATGGCAGGACTAGAGCAAAAATGGAGGAGGGTAGTTGGGGAGATAAGCCAGATCGCACTGGGTACGATGGGCTTTGTGAGAAGTTAAAATTTTACTCAAAGGGCAATGCAAAGTCATTTGATGAGACAATGTATGCGAAGCTCCTAATAAACTTCCTAGTAAGTGCCCTATAAATATCAGTCCTCTCCCTGATGTGAAGTGAATGAAGAAGTCTAGCATCTCCTTTTTCCCTTTTAGGAATTTATTTTATTTTTATAAACAACAGTTAATTGCATTTGGGTGTTTTCAAAAACAATGAGTCAAAAGAAAATCATTAATGCATGTTTCATTTCCTGACTGGTCAGTTTTGGCTTCTTTCTCTGTGCTAGTTAAATCACACCACTGAGCTGTTGTTTTCATTCTTCAAACAAGAACTGATGTGGTGGTGTGAGGGAGAGAGAAGATATGCATGACTGCAGTTGATCTGGCAAGGAAAAGAAAGCAAGACACAGGAGAACATGGAGCTAAATAAGTCTCAGCTTTCATGGTTTTTCTTCCATAAAGGGTTCCCCACAAAAGGTTTGGCAGCCCGAGTTTTATTTTTGTTTTTCTCCTTTTCCCTGTTGACATGCTGCAAGATGGCTGCCTCAGTTCTGGGTAGCTCATCCACACAAAACAGAACTCAGCAACAAAAGGGGGATGTTTTCTTCCCCCACTTCGGGTCCCTTTTTTAAAGCTGAGAGACACTGGGAACACTTCCTCTCCCAGTTCTTTGGCCAGGATTTGGATCATACGACTTTTCCTGATCCAACCACTGGGAAGGTAAATAGGATAGCTGTAATTGGCTCTGGTAAGTTACAATTTATCCCTGAGTCATGACAGGGAGTGCAGAATAGACACCCGAACAAAACTGGGGCTCTGCCCCGGGAGGAAAGGGGTGGTCATTAGTAGCTGCTTAAGCAGATAGTCATAGTCATAGCGCATACATGCCCCTTCGTACTCTCTCTTCTGGATGCGTTCTCTTTGGCATTAGGCTTCGTACCCCCTTGGAGATGGGCACAGACCTATGACTGGCTTTGACCTGTGAAATGTGAACAAAAGTGAAATATGACTCAGAGGCTCTGTGAGTTCCCATCTGCTGGGAGTTAGGAGATAGGTGTACAAGAGATTTGTTGTGGGTACTGCCTGCAGGATCCAGGGGAGCGGGATCGGGAGTAGGCAGGGAAAGCCTTCAGGCTGCCTTGCAGGTCTGACACCCATGGGAGAAGTAAGAAGAGGGATATATAAAGAGGACTGGGTAGGAAGAAGCTCGGACTATAATACCGCTCTGAAAAAGTCTTGGCCAAGGCCAAAGAGAACCTCAAATGCGGATTGCTTGTGGGGTAGCCCCTTGTTGGGCAGAGATGGCCAGGCCCTGGTAGCATGGCTGGGCTGTGAGCTGCCCAGAGAGAGCTTGGCCTCCCCTGGAACACAGCAGCAGACCCAAAGTGCCCACAGCTCGGGGCTGTCAGCCAACTCCACTCCTCAGAGCAGGCTCTCCTGGAGATCTGAGGCGTGCATCACCAAGCCCTCCGCACAAGAAGCAGCTCTTGACTGAAAGTTCCAGATTCTCCAGTTGCCAGGACCCTGGAAGCACATGTGGAAGAGTTGCATCTTCCATCAGCCTGGATCCCTAAGTCGCACCAGACCTAAAGCATGGGGAGAAAAGAAACCTTTGTTGGGTTAAGCCACTGAGATGTTGTTGTGTTTAAGCCACTGAGATGTGTCATCATAACATACGATAACATATAAAAGCAGAGCACAGCGTTTCATAATGGATCATAACACAGAGCTACCTGTGTCAGCAGTGACAGACATTTTTAGTGTTAATTTAATTTCAAATGCCATAAAATTGACCACAGTATTTACTCGTGGTGATTTTTATCTCTTTTTAATCTGTGGTTGTGACCTTTCTGCCTTCCTATAGTGTTTATTTGCACGTGTTCTTTCTTGATTAGCTCTGCTATAGAGTTGTCCATTTTATTGGAGTTTTGGAATCCACTTTTAATTTTTTTGACCATCTCTTTTTGTTTTGTGTTCTATTTGTTTATTTTCAGCCCTTATCTTTATGATTTTCTTCAATTTCTTTGCGATTACTCTCTTACTTGTATACTTTCTTAAGCACCAAACTCATTTAAGTCTTTTTTCTTCCTTCCTTCCTTCCTTTCTTTTCTTCTCAATACAGTTTAGGTTGCATCCAAAATTTTGATATTTCATTAATTTCACTGTTGCTCAGATATAAATTCTTTGTAACTTCTGTTACTTATTAATCCATGAATCATTGAGAACTTTTTTGTTACAAATGAATTTCTTTTTTAAAGGTATCCATATTTTTACTATTGATGTTGATTGCTCTTGGAGAGTTACCCTGAAATGCTCTGCGATGTATTGGGACTTCCCCTGCCATTCTCCATGTTTAACATTTGAACATGTTTCAACACCTTTTTTTCTGGCACGTGCTATTATTCAACCTGCAAATGACGTTTTTTAACAGACACCGTTGAATATGTGTAAGTCGTATGTCTCTGATTAAACTGTTAGCTCCTTGAGGACAGGGATGGTGTCCTACACTCTGCTT